GACCTGAGCCGAAGGCAGTCGCTTAACCAACTGAGCCACCCAGGCGCCCAAATGCTTTATTTTTTCAACTTACATGGACCGAGTGTCAGTTGACCTTAATAGCTTTCTGCTAGGCATTGTGAGACAGGCTGAGAAGTGCCTTGCCCTCAAGGAATGTACAGTTTGGTTGGAGGGATACAAAGTAGCACACATTTAAGGGCTAAATGAATGGAACATATGAGTGCTTTAGGCTGTTCAAAAAATAGATGAATGGATTTGAAGTAGTCATGGCAGATTTTGGTAGGCAGATGAAGGAGTAAGTTTTTCCAGGTAAGGCAAATGGTGTCAGTAGGCACATAGAGGCAGAGATTAACAAATGGATGGGCTGGTAAATACAATTAAATGGGTATGCTGATATTTGCAGTAAAAATGGTTTATGCTTGGGAGTAGTGGGAGTTAAGCTAGGGAAGATAGTGTGATTCTGTCGTTGAGGACCTTGAATGCCTGGTTATTGAGTATGTCTTTAGTACTGTAGGGACCAGAAGGGAATTGAAAGCTTCTGAGAAAAGGAGGGGCACAGAAAAAGTGGATTAGGGGGATTAATTTGTTGGTGGAATGTAGAATGGTTTTTGAACAGGGAGGCAATAGAGGCTATTTGGTATGAGTGGATGAGGGTATCCACCAGGCTGGTTGATCCGGCATTGTGAAGGCAGGATTATGTAGGACAAAAAACAGGAAACTAGACCATGGGGGAGGGTATACGAACTTTCAAGTCTGAGCTAGTTGGAAAATATTGGTTTCACTAAGAGAAATACATAAGAAGGGCTGGTTTGGGTTGGGGAAAAAAAACATGGGTACCTGCTACATTTAGGTTTTTGGCAGGACATGTGGGCTGTAATATCCAAAGTACATAATAGTTGTTGCATAAATTGACTAGAGCTGCAGTTTGTTCACCTCTGCTCCAAGATGGGCTTGGGTGGGAGTTATTAGAAAAGTTTGCATAGGGGCACCTTGGTGCCTCCATTGGTTAAGATTCTGCCTTAGGCTTGGGTCATGATCCCAGGGGCCTGGGATCAAACACCCCCCTTCACTCCCCAGTCCTGTTAGGCTCCCTGCTTAGTGGGTAGTCTGCTTCTCCCTCTCCCTTTGCCCCTCCTTCTGCTTGTGCTCTCTCCCTCAAATAAATAAAAAAAACTTAAAAAAAAAAAGAAAGGAAGGCTTTGCATACTCAGCTTTGTTCCTTTCTGGCAGGAGGGAAGTACCTGCTGTCAGAGCATTCCCAGTCCTCAAGGGGTCCACGAAGTAGTCGGGAAGTATAATTTTAATAGAATTAGCTGAAACATTAGCAAATGTCAGGTGGTGGTTTGGTAGTATGTCATTGCTGCTAACTTCGACGTGCTAAGTGTAACATTATTAATAGCTTTTATGCAGGGCTCAGAGGACTAACACTTAGCAAATTAGATTCCTTAGTTTTTGCACTGCTCTTATATTTTAAGGTATATTACTTTGGGCAAACCATTTAACCTCTCTGTGCCTTGGCTTCCTATCTATAAAACAAATCTTATTGTGGCAGCATTCATAAACATTTCAAAAGATACAGATAAAAAGCATTGTAGGGTTCTCCCCTTTCACCCCCACTCCAAAGACCAAGTCAGTCTTTCAAAAAGGTCGTCCATTTTGTTGAGTTCTTTCAATTGCTAACTTAGTTAATTAGCATTTTTCTTTTTTTTAAAAAGATTTTATTTATTCATTTACGAGAAAGACAGAGAGAGCACAAGCAGGGGGAGAGGCAGAGGGAGAGGGAGAAGCAGACTCCCTGCTGAGCAGGGAGCCTGATGCAGGACTCGATCCCAGGACCCTGGGATCATGACCTGAGCCGAAGGCAGACGCTTAACCATCTGAACCACCCAGGCGCCCTAATTAGCATTTTTCTAAAATGCATTTACCAGTCCAGAGCTGAAAAATGTAGTCTATAACTGCTTTTTCTACCTTCTGGGCCTGATTATTTTATTTTTTTAAAAAGATTTTATTTATTTATTTAATTGACAGAGAGAGAGAGAGAGAGAGAGAGAGAGACAGCGTGAGAGGGAACACAAGCAGGGGGAGTGGGAGAGGTAGAAGCAGGCTCCCTGCCCGGCCGAGCAGGGAGCCCGATGCAGGACCTGAGCTGACCAACTGAGCCACCCAGGTGCCCCTGGGCCTGCTTATTTTGCTAATCCCCTTTTACTCAGTGGCTGGTGTCATTGGACTCTCATCTCTAGGCTCCTGGATCTATCCCAGCCCATATTAGAAAGGGAATTTGAGTTCTGTATTAACTCTCTGGGACCTCAACACAAAGCAACTGTGATCAATGTGAAATTTGGTCTCAGTTCTAGGCATTAAGTTCCTTCTTTGTTTCCAAGTCTCCCTCTGTCAAATCTGGCCTTTGGATACTTGTCTTGTAGCCCTGAGCCCAAGTTCTTGCCCTGCAAACTTGCCCAGCACATTATCTCAAGGACCTGAATTCTTTCATCAATTCCTTATAGGGAGAGGAATCCAGACCTGGAAAAAAGCACTGAAGCTGGGGCTCTGCAATAAGCAGCACATTTTCTTAATGCTTGCCACGATTTCCCAATTTTTGTCTGCTCTTGGGCTTCCCAAGGTTGTGTTCCAGCTGCCCACTGACTTAAAACACTTGCATTCTCTGTGTTGAACCAGCCTCCTGCCAGCTGCCTTCCTGGTGACTGCCCATTCCACACCCTCCAGATACTGTCTTTCTGGCTGCTTGCTCATCACACCAGCTGGGTCTGCTTCCGATTCTATGATGTAGCTAGGTCTGGTCTCCACTTCTTCCAGTCTACCTCACCCTTATTACAGTTAATCCTTTTACATTAAACTAAAGCAGATATTTGCTGGTGTGGAAACTGATGTGGTATTGGAATTTTATCCTTGTTTACGTCTTTGTGTTGGAAGAGATTGGGATCACTTCCAAAACCGGCTCAGAGAGCTTTCCTGTCTCTTAGGAGAAACAAATGAACACTTGACAATACCTTGTGTTTAAGACCAAGCCTCAAGGCCACTATTTTAATTGTAAAATTGTATTATTTAAACTTGATCGTGCTTTCAGACATACTTATATATTTTAAAGTATATTTTGGCCAGTGCTCATTCGTGTCTCACAATTTGAAGGTACTTGGAACTTGATGGCTTTGTGGTTATAAGGAAATGAACTAATCAAGGTTGGGGGATAGTGTTCTACAATGGTAGTTTCAACCTTTAAGGTACATTGGAATCTTTTGAAGGACAGATTGCTAGGTCCCACACCCAGAGTTTCTCTGGAGTGGTGCCTGAGAATTTGCATTTCTAACAACATTCTCAGAAGATGTTGACACAATTGCTCCTGGGATTACACTTTGAGAACTGGTCATAATGTTTAAACTGGCCACAGGTAACCAAAAGCTGCTGAGCAGTGTGGATCAGTTCAAATTCTTGTCTGAATGGATAAGGTGGAGGGTGCTGAGAAATAAACGTCTAATTCGTTAGTTCAGTTAGAATGATCGCTGATTTCAGAGGTCTTCTCCACCACTATTACTTAGGAGAACATGGGCAATCATTTACTCTCTTTGCACTTCCGTTTCCACATCCATAAAATAAGAATAGCCTCTACGTTGCCCCTACCTGAGTGTTGGGCAGGTCAAATGAAATGGCATGAAAATGTTTGACTATAGAGTAGGATGGCACCAGGAGGTATTGCAATGGTTTTTCAATCCTGTTCTTAAAATAGCACCAGTTTCCTCTGGATTTCTTGCTTTTTAATTAATTATAGCAGCTTTAATCCAGGAATATAGAATACTTTTATTGCTATAAGAAACTCAAACTTAGAAAAAAAAAAGTTCATTCAATGAGATCAGACATGCCTTATAAACATTACAAAGAGCCAGGAATGATTCCGTCTTTACAGCAGTAAAAAAGAGAAATGGGAGATCCCATCGTGACTTGGGGTGGAGTCAGTTAATCTTTCAACGCTGTTTAGATTGGTCCATTTATAAAAATGGCTACGTTACAGCACGTTAAAATAAAAAATCACCGTGTAAAGTGATAAATCTGTCTACCCCATCTTGTTACATCTCTTGAAATTTCTATTAATCTATCTGTCTTTGGAAGTAGTAAATCCTTCCAATCCTGGTGTGGGTATTTTTCTCACCCGAGGGCCTCCAGCTCGCTCCAAGGGCCAATACAGTTCTTGCTCAGACTGGGCGCATTTGTGACTTTTCATTAGTCACCAGCTGTATCGAATTCTCCCGGGCCTTTAATAAGCTTCGCAGATATTAGCCTCACTGTTCCCAGGTGTTCCATAAGCATCATAAAACGTCAGCCAGGATGCTGACAAGGTTCTAAAGACAGGGTTTGGGACAGTGAAGGCTCGCGTTGGGGCCGGTCAATGCACCTGGCAGGGTGGTTTACCCGGCGCAGAAAGGGGTGTCCCAGAGCCCCGCCCCCCGGGGCCCCGTCCGCGTCCGCGCACGCTTCTTCCCGGCGCCGGCAGGAGGCGCCCGCGGTAGCCGAGGCGCTGCGTGCACCCGCGGGGAGCTGGCCTGGGGGGGCGGAGAGGAGGGGCGGAGAGGAGGGGCTGGAGGGGGCGCGGCTTGCTCCCCGTCCCGGGCGCCGGGCCTCCCTCTCCGCCAGGCCCAAGGCTGGTGGCCGGCGGGGGTCGCGGCGGTGGCGGCGGCGGCTCTGGCGGGCCGCGGGCGCGGGGGCCTGGCTCCGGCTCCGGGTGTTAGGAGACAAGATGGCGGCGGCGCTGTGGAGGCTGGTCTCCTCCTCTCCTCCGCTCTCCTCCGCCCCGCCGCTCGCCGCCTCCTCGGTCTCCTCCTCCTCGTTAGCTGCCTCCTCCTCCTCCTGCAGCAGCCCTAGCGACCGCCGGAGCGCCGGCCCGCTCTCCCGGAGCTCCGGAGGGGGGTAGACGGGGCAGCTGCGGGCTCCAGCGACCGACCGAGGCCGAGCTGGGGCCGGGGCGGGGACGGCGGCGACGGCGGCGGCGGCGGCGGCGGCGCCGGGTGGGGATGGGGTCGCAGACGCTGCAGATCCTCCGGCAGGGGGTGTGGGCCGCGCTCAGCGGGGGCTGGTACTACGACCCGCACCAGGCCACCTTCGTGAACGCTCTGCACCTCTACCTGTGGCTCTTTCTGCTCGGCCTGCCCTTCACCCTGTACATGGTGAGTGTGGGGGCGGGGAGGAGGGTGGCCCCTTCCCGCTTCCCCTTGTCGCTGGCCGGGAAGCGCTGGCGTTCTAGAGTCCCGCGGGTGCTCGCGCCTCCCGGGCTCCGGGCCGGGGTCGCGCCCTCTCCTCTTCCCGGCGCGCGCCCGCCGCCCCCTCGGGGCCCACTGCCCCACTGACTGTAGTGATCCCCTCCCCCACCGAGTCCCCACTCTCTCCTCTTTAGGGTGTCCCTTATGGCGGTGATGACAGGAGGGACGAAGCAGCAGCAGCAGCCCCCACCTGGCGCCCCCGTGTGCCCCACCCTTTTACGGGGAAATAGTAACCTCCTGGGCCCGGTCTTAGGGAGTCCTGAACCTGTAGCCCCTCCAGCCTGTCCACCCAAGAGGAAAGCCCAATTAGAGCTCCCTGCTCTCCACGTTTTGTGGCAGGCGCTGAGCACTCTGCTCCTAAGGGACGCCGCATTCATCCTTGGCACGCGTGCTTATTTGCGCTCCGCTCCCCGGGCCCGGGCCCCGGCCCCCCTTGGGCACTCCCTTCACCCGAGGCGGTTCGCTCTCCTCTCTCCACCTCGCCTCTGGTCCGCGTGCGGGGGGCCTCGGAGCGGGGGAAGAATGCGTGCGGCTCTGTTGGGAACATGATTGTGGGGCGGCCGGGCTCTTCCTCGAGAATAGGTGGTGGTTGAAAACCTGGCTACTCACCTTCCTGCCTCTATAAGATCATTGTTTTTGCTTACCACTGATTCTTTTCTGTTCAGCTCTGTGGTCAGTGGCTGCTGTGTTTCCAGGCCAGCTTTGGGGGGAGGGAGCGGGGGAGATACGGGGAATCTGGCTGGCATTTCAGATTTGTTTGGATTGGTTCAAGGCCGTTTACTGATAGGAAAAAGGAAGTACTGCCTGTTGCTGAATTCAGTACGATCAGCTTCTCCGAAGGATCTAGGTTTTTACGCCGTATTTTCACTGGAAGTTGTACGCACTTTTTTTTTTTTTAACACATTAGGTTAGGGTGGGGCATTAGGGAAACTAATACGGAAGAGAGATGATACTTAAACTTCAGGGTTTTTTTTAAGGTTCAATTAAGTTTTTAAAGTAACCGGAAGGCAGGAAAGGAAAACTTTTTATTTTAGGAGAATTCCTTTTCATGTATTTCTGTTAACTTTGTGGCTCTTCATGGAGCTATATAGTAAGGGTGCTGGATTAGAAAGTCTGGGAGTACGCCTAAAGAAGTGCTAAAGTGAGGCTACCCAATTCTTTCCTAAGTGAAGCTCCTTTTCACTGATTGGCAGGAAAAGTGCCAGCTTGGGGGAAGATGTGCGAAATTTCACATTCTCAAGCAGAGTTTAGTTTTTCATTAAACTTGTTTTGAAGGGACTTACTGCTGGAGGTAAAAAAAAAATTAAAAAAATGTTGATGACTGATGACTTATTTTTTTAGGGGACTTGTTAAGTCTTGTCCCATTCTGAAAATGTATCATGAAGTGTTATAATTTTCAATTAATTCTGGCTTAGGGGGTTCTGTTTGCACTGCTCTACCTTCCAGGAATATGACATCCTTAAGGAACAGGTTAATTACTTCGGGTGTAAGAATCCTCAGGCTGTCACAGAGCTTTCATAGCAGATTTCTCTTATATCCAGGAGAATTGTAAATTTAAGACTGAAACTGGTACTTGAGATGTAAGGATTAGTTGCTGTGCCGCTGTGTAATGTTTCCTTGTAAGCACGTGAACTGTGTTAGTGGCTAAGTCTTTGTGTAATTAGCAAACATTACTAAAGGAAATTAGAGCAAATAGAAAGCAATACATTGAGTTTACTGTTTCATTTTGGGAATTTACTCAGTTAAGTTTAATTCACAAACATTTGTCTACTATGTACTGAGCAGTTTGCTAGATTCTGGGAAAATTGCTTCACTGACTTTCTTGTCTCAGTTAACGGCAAGTCTACTCTCCCTAATCTTTTAAAATATCTCCCTGATTCATGTTTCTCCCTTTTCACATCCAGTTCATCAAATCTTGTGGGTTCTCTTTTCAAAACCCAACTAAAATCCAGTTCATCATCATCATCATCACTCAATTGGTTCAAGCAATCATTATGGCTCCCCTGGATTATTGCAGGATTTTAATGAGGTTCACTGCTTTTATTCTTTAATCTCTATTCTTGTTATGGAAGTCTGGTGATTCTTTGAAACATAGATCATGGCACTCTTCTGCTCTCAGAGCCTGCCCTCCCATGTGTCTCTATTATGCCCCACCCCTTTGCCGCCTTAGAATTTTTCCCACATAATAACTAATATTCCTGCCTCGGGGCTTTCACACTTGCTCCCCCCCACCCCCCATGACTCCTCCCCTCCAGATATCTGTGACTTGCTCCACTTACTCAGATTTCAGTTATATGTGAAGCTCTCCCTGATAACTCTATGTAACATGGCTCCTACAGTATTTTCTAGCCCTCTGTCCCTCCTTTTTTTTTAATATCCCTTATCACTTATTGATATATATTAGTATCTCCTATTTCATTGGAGTATTAGCTCTGAGGAGGGCAGAGACTTTATTTTGCTCACTGCTGTGTTGTCAGGACCTAAATCAGTGCCAGACACATAGTAACCACTCAGATATTGAATGATTAGAAATGTACAAGACACAGCTTCTGCCTTCAAGGAACTTAAAATCTAGCTTGGGGGCAAGGAACAATTTACAAGCATTAGAACTGTTGTGAAAAGGTAAGTACATCGTGACCCTGAGTTTATAGTCAGGATTGATTCTAGTCTAGGGGCAGTCAGCAAAGACGATTTGTCAACATTTTCATTTATTTTATTTTATTTTTTATTTTTTATTTTTTTTTTTTAGGATTTTATTTATTTATTAGAGAGAGAGAATGAGAGATAGAGAGCATGAGAGGGAAGAGGGTCAGAGGGAGAAGCAGACTCCCCGCTGAGCAGGGAGCCCGATGTGGGACTCGATCCCGGGACTCCAGGATCATGACCTGAGCCGAAGGCAGTCGCTTAACCAACTGAGCCACCCAGGCGCCCTATTTTATTTTTTAAAGATTTTATTTATTTGACAGAAAGAGACAGCGAGAGAGGGACACAAGCAGGGGGAGGGGGAGAGGGAGAGGGAAAGGGAGAAGCAGGCTTCCCGCTGAGCAGAGAGCCCCATAGGGGCTTGATCCCAGGACTCTGGGATCATGGCCTGAGCCGAAGGCAGCCGCTTAACCGACTGAGCCACCCAGGCGCCCCTATTTTATTTTATTTTTTAAAGATTTTATTTATACATCTGAGAGAGAGAGAGAGAGAGAGGATGTGCACCCGAGGCGATGGGGAGGGACAGAGGGAGAAGCCAACTTCTGAGCAAGGAGCTGAACATAGGGCTTGATCCCAGGACCAGGATCACGACCTGAGCCGAAGGCAGAGGCTTAACCGACTGAGCCACCCACATGCCCTGATTTGTCAACGTTTTCAGAAATATTACTAGTTCTACAGTATTGAGGCAGACAGTTGGAAGTATACACTTGAGGCAAAATCCAACATTCCATGTAAAAATAAGAGCTCTGACAGTTATAGATTATTATTTGTATATTCTTCCAATAATAACTATCAAGGATAGTGACTATGAAGCGAATAGGTTCTTTATCCCAAACGCTGTGTTCTCATTTTACTGATGAGGACACCTGAGGTCAGCCCCAGATGATTTGTTTTGTGACCTTAGGCAGATAAAGAGCTGGGATTTATAAGGGCTTTTGTAGCCATTGCATAGGTAGTTTTTGTTTTATTTTTATTTTTTATTTTCAAAGACTTAGAGAGTTTGAGCATGTGCATGAAAGAGCACAAGCCCTGGGGGGCCAAGGTGGGGGTGCGGCAGAGGGAGAGGGAAAAGCAGGCTTCCTGCTGAGCAAGGAGCCCTATTTGGGGCTCCATTCCAGGACCCGGGGATCATGACCTGAGCCGAAGGCAGACACCCAATGACTGAGCCACCCAGGCGCCCCTCCTGTTTGTTTTTTTAAATTAAAGACTCAAAGTCTATGAACATATTAAATTAGTAGAGTCTCAGGGCTTTTTGTTTTTTTGTTTTTTTTTAAAGATTTTATTTATTTATTTGAGAGAGAGAATGAGAGAGAGTACGAGAGGGAAGAGGGTCAGAGGGAGAAGCAGACTCCCTGCTGAGCAGGGAGCCCGATGTGGGACTCGATCCCAGGACTCCAGGATCATGACCTGAGCCAAAGGCAGTCGCTTAACCAACTGAGCCACCCAGGCGCCCCTCAGGGCTTTTTGTATAGGAGTAAAACACTTTTGCTGTTAGTAGCTTTTGTGGATACTTTGAAAGGTAGAATTTATAGTTTCTGCAGTTATAAATCATTTAGTGAAAATGAAGAAGTAATTTTTTCCTTCTTTTTACTGTCCCTTCTGTTTCTCTTAAGACACTCACCCCATTTTCTCTTGCTGTACGGTTGACCCTTGAACAACATGGGGGTTAGGGGCACCAACCCCCACTCAGTTGAAAATCCACCGTATAACTTTTGACTCCCCCCCACCCAAAACTTGGCTACTAACAGCCTACCATTGACCCTCAGCTTTACTGGTTACACAAACCGTCAAGTAACACATATTTTGTATGTTAATATGTATTATATGCTGTGTTTTAATAAGGTAAGCTAGAGAAAAGAGTGTTAAGAAAGTCATAAGAGAAAATACATTTATAGTACTCTGCTGTGTTTATTAAGAAAAATCTGTGTTGTTAAAGGATCAACTAATCATTTTTGCACATGACATGTGACAGATGGTGAGCTTTGTAGTCATGAGCTTTGTGGCACTTTTGTGTTGTGGAAAGCAGATTGGAATTGGTGTTGTCTTGATTTGTGAATTTTGGCTCTTACTGATTGTGAGGCCTTTGGGCAAGACTCTGCCTTTCTGAACCTTGATTTACTCATTTGTGAGATATTTCATGTGTATTTTATAAGCAAATATTTATGAAATAAAAAGTTATTCACCTTCAGAGTGGCCTTTAGTAA